AAACAGTTGGGAAAATCAGCAGAAAATAAAAACTAGTATGCCGAATAAAATGTCATTTTTTTTATTCTTTAGTAAAAATAATATTAAAAAAGGAACAAAACTTCGTCGAAAATGTCTAAAAAACTCTGTGCCAAGTTTTTAGTCGTGCCTTTGAATCCCGCACTGGATTTCGATGGATAATAGTCGATTATATTTCCATTTTAAAGGCAGTATCTATAAAATTATAAAAAATAATTGATCAAATTCCATCAAAAATGAATTATATTCCTTGTATTTTTTATATCAATATAACCAATTATTATCGATTATAATCGTATATAATCCAATAAAAATGGATGATAATCATAAAACTTTTTAAATCATAATATCCATTATAATAGATTATAATCGATTATAATGTATTTTTTGAGAATTATGAATTTTGCAAACTTTTTCGAAGTTATCTCATTTCGTGTTTCGTACAGTTGCTACGTAGCTACGTATTACATTTAATAAATTTTTACTCATCGTCCCTTTTAACAACCCCCTTCCCTAGTTTTAATCACCCCCACAGTTTGCCCCCCCCCCCCCCCCACAGTTTGCCCCCCCCCCCCCACAGTTCCCCCCCCCCCCCCACAGTTTGCCCCCCCCCACAGTTGCCCCCCCCCCCCCCACAGTTTGCCCCCCCACCAGTTTTGCCCCCAGTTAACCCACCTTGCCCCGTGGGCGTGTAACGGGGGGAAGACGCTAAAAATGGGCGAGGCAGTGAAAATTGATAAAATGTAAACAAACTGGGGGGGGGGGGGGTAATGGGTAATTTGTAACTTGAGGGGGTTGGCTTTGGGGATAAACAACGTAGGGGAGGGGGGGGGGCAAATGCGGATGGGGGCAAAGTGAGGGAAGGGGGTTAACTTGAGTAGTTTAAGATTGCGAGTAGGCCGTGAGTAACGCAGAAATGTTGCAAGTTTTGCAATTGATTCTGCAAAAAAGGTATAGATTACAATCCATTCTAATCAATTAGAATGGATTTTAAATGGATTATTATAATCCATTATAATGGATTTTAAATGTATTATAATGCATTATTATAGATTTTAATGTTGTATTTTTAGAAAAATAATCGATTATAATGACAATATAATCGATTTCGTGGTCTAAATTTGCAACAATAATGGATTATAAGGACAACATTTCAGACAACAATTTTTGATCATAATCGATTATTATCCATGGAACTCCGATGCGGGATAGGTTTCGTATTTTTGCACAATAACCATTTTAGACAGCTGTTTTTGGGTATCCATTAGTCCGCTATGTTTTTTACGGTGGATGAACTGTCTTGATTTTATCACATGTAGTAAGCCCGTCTACAATAATCAATTGTTTCCCAAAAGTTTGGTTGTGATCTGTCCAAGCTATGAAACTTAGAACAATTTTAAATTGAGCCGTCGTTAATCGGTTTGACAATTCTAAATTTCATAGACCGAATCTGTTCGCGAACAAGTAAAGTATTTATAAGCAAGCTAATCAAGCTATGAAACGAAGCAAATCGGAAGGCAAAAATTAAGGTTTTTCGATTGAAGCCATTCAAGCAATGAAAAATTGAATTCTTAAAAAATATTTCATAAGCAAATTTTTCCGCTAAAAAATCAAGTATTTTTCCAGCAAGCTGCAAACGATGAAACATTGAAATATTTCACGTTGTTCTTCGACCAAAAAATATATTTTTTTCTAAGCAAACTAATCAAGCTCTGTGGTTTCTCATGTTGTTTATTAGACCAAAACACGTTGCGAAAAATTTCAAGTTTCCTCTGAAAGTTTTTTTATAGGAAATTTTGAAATTTTTCATGTTATTTCGCAGAGAGAATCACTTCTCAAAAAATTAACGTCTTTTAAGAAGGCCAGTCAAGCAATGGAACCTTGATCAAATTTTTCTTAAGCAAAGTTTTCAAGTTACGAACTTGAGAAAATTGAAGTTAGTTTTAGACCGAATCGGTTTGCGCAAACTTTAAATTTTTCTAAGCAAGCTACTCAAGCTAAAAGGTTTTAAAAAACTCAAGTTGTTTAAAACTCAAGTTGTTTTTTCTTATGGAGCGAAATGAAATGTCGTAAAATGGTTATTCAAATTTTAAAACAGTTGAAATTTTTCGAGTTTTTTTTTTTAAGTGAAATGTGAGTTGAATTAATTTAAGACAAAAGACTTATTTCATAGACCAAATCACCTCGCAACTGAAAATTTTAAAGCAAGCTGTTGAAGCGATGAATTGTCAAAATATTACAAGTTGTTCTTCGACGAATCATTCGCGAAACTTTCTAGTTTTTCCAAGCAACCTATTCAAGCTATCAAATTTTAAAGTATTTCAAGTTATTTCATGACTGAATCGAATCGCGAAAAAATTTAAGTGTTTCTATCGAAGTCAGTCGAGCTATAAAACTCTGTAAACAACCAAGTTATTTCATAGATGAAATTGGTTTACAACAAATTTAAAGCAAGCTAATCAGTCAATGAGTTTTTTTAAACATACCGAAACGGTCCGCAAAAAAAAAACATTTTTTCTATGCAACCTATTCATGTTATAAAATATTGAGATATTTTACGCGTTATATTAGATGAAACCAAATTGCAAAAAAATAAAATTTTGCCATGCAAAACTTTTAAGCAAAAAAATGAAAATTCTCAAGCTGTTCCGCAGAGTGAATCTTTTTAATATGAAATAATGTTGTTCTTAGCAAGCCATTCAAGCGGCGAAACTTTCAATTATTTCAGGTTATTTCAAATTTATTTTTTTTCAGCAAAGTATTCCAGTTACGAAGCTGAAAAATTTTGAGTTTGCTTTGAACCGAATCATAATTTAAACTTCAAGTTTTTCTGAGCAAGATAATTCAAACTTCAAAGTTTTGAAATAATTTAAGTTTTTTTTATGAAGCAAATTGAAATTTTTCTAAGTTTGCTATTTCAACTTTAAGAATTTGAAATAATTTACTTTTTTTCATTGAGAAAATTGAAATATTTTAGTTAAAAAATGTTTTCAAGTTATTTTATAGACCGAATCAGCTCGAAAAAAAGCCTTTTCTGAGCAAACTATTAAAGCGATGAAACGTTTTTTAAAAAACCATTTGCTTCAGAGAGCAAATTAGTGTGCTCGAAATTAATTTTTTTTTCGCTAATCCAGCTATGCAAATATTTAAATGTCAAGTTATTTCAATTTTATTTAAATGTCAAAGCAAAGCGATTGGCAAAAAAATAGTGTTTTTCTATTGAAGATATTCAAGACACGAAATAATCTAACTTTTCTTATAGACCAAATGAGTTTGCGAAAAATACAAGTTTTCATCTGCAAGCTATCCGAGTGATGAATCTTCGTTTAATAAAGCAGTTATTCGAATAATTTAAATAATTCAAATTGTTTCATGAAGAAAAATTCAAGTTTTTTTATACAGTATCTTAGTCGCAAAAATTTGCTAATTCTAAGCAAACTATTCAAGCTATGAAGTTTTTTTAATTTTGAAAAATTTTGGATTGTGAAAACATTTTTGAAGTTGTCCAAGCGCGTTAGCTTTGAAACAATTCAAGTTACTTGATCAAGCGAATCGGATGGCAAAACTCTAAATTTTTCTGTTGAATGTTTTCAAGCATTGAACTTTTGAAATATTACGGGTGGTTTTATCGGCCAGACCGATTTGCAGAAAAAATCAATTTTTCTTTAAGCAAGCTTTTCAAAACATGAAAATTTGAATTATTTTAAGTTAGTTTATAGACGAATTGATTCGCTAAACGGATTAAGTTTTTCGAGGCCAGCTACTCAATTTTCAAAACTCCGAAAGATTTCAATTTAAATCATGAAATAAGCGTTTTTTTTCCACTGAAGCCATTCTAGCAGAGAAACCTGGAAACTTTGCAAGTTATATGTTAGACTGAACTCTTTTATAAAGGTTACATTTTTCTTAGGTCAGCGTTTTAAGCAATGAAACCTTCAAATAGTCCAATCTATTCTGCAGAGCAAACCAGTTGGCAAAAAACTATGTTTTTCTTCTAAAGTGATTAAAGCGACAAAATAATTCAATTTGTTTCATTGACAGAATCAAGCGGCAAAAAACTTCTAATTCTTGTATTACCAAATCTGTTTGCAGTTTGCATACAATACCATTTCTTTAAGCAAGCTATCCGAGCAATGATTCTTTCAAAAAGTTTTTCAAAGTTTTCAAAAAAACAATCAACTCGCAAAACTTGTTTATTTTTAGTCAAACTATTCAAGCTATGAAACTTAGAACAAACTGAAACTATTTCACAGGTTGAGTCAGTTCAAAAAAATTTTAGTTGTGCTCGGAAACCTATTCAACCGATTCAACTTTTGAACAATTTAAGATTTTTCATGAAACGAATCTTAGGGTAAAAGTTTTATTTTTTTTCTGTTGAAGCTATTCAAGCTTTGAACTTTTGAAACAATATAGGTTATTTCATAAGCTGAATTGATCCGCAA